TTTTTTTTACGTTTGCAACATATCTGATATAAGAGCTACTTGTATGTTACACAACAGACAAAGGGGGGTTTGAGGAGAGCTAATTCCACACACTGAACAGACACTCATGTTTTCCACTCAAGCTGGATTTTCTTTATCCTTATCGCTTCTCATCCATCTCCAGCTTGATTAAATGTCCTCATATTACACCATCACAGTAATGAGTCCTAACTTCGTCTTCTAATTCGAAGCAACATTACCAAATTGCACAAGTGGAAACAGCATAACGACGCATTTTTACTTCACATAACCTTTCTGCTGAATTTCCACAGACGTCAAAATCTCACAGAGATGAAACTTGACCCTCCTACCCCTTCTCCATAAAGCAGACGACTTCCTCTGTGTGACTCACGTTTCACTGGCATTTTCATTTGAATGAGGTGGGTAGATGACCAAATGATATGAAAATGGGTTTTAACACTCCCTCTCCTTTTGACTGCAGAGCACAACATCTGCTTTGCCCTCCCCCGAACCCACATTATTCCTTCTTTTCCCTGACACTCCTGCTTGACTTTTCCATCCAACCCCCTCACTAATTACATACACAGATATCAAAATGGCACTCTTGTTTTTGCATACCTAATAGACATTAATGGGGTGGCTAAAGATAAAAAAAAAAAAAAAATGCATGCATCCTTACATAGCTCATATCAGAATCCTCTGATCACCCCACACTACTTTTCTGCAGCCTACCCATCATGGAAATTACTTCTAATCGTTTTCAGATGGCACAGATTAATGCACTGCCTTTGCCAAAAACAAATCATATGACAAAAGTGAACCCATGTCCAGTTCTCAGGAGCTTAGGGCTTTTTCCTTCCAGTCCGTGCATCTTCTCTTCTCCTAACACCCACTCCTTTCTTCCCTTACTTCTTAACGCCAGTTCCCAGCTTTTCCCTCACATCCCAGAGCTTTACAACCGCCTCTCCCATCATCTCACCTCTGCCCAGATTGTGCCATAATTCTAGCTGTAGCTAATGCGTCTTGACAGCTCTTGTGTTTGCAGAGTAAAGGCAACTTGCACTTCGGGGTCAGGTAATGGCGTAACTAAGCCTGCCACCCCACAGGGCTGCGGCCAATTCACCAAATTTAACAAAAACACAGACACCCTTTTATCTTGTAGCCCCAAGCAGAGCACAAAACACTCCATCCCCCCTTAGTTCTCATTAATGTGACAGTACCCCAAACAAATTAGGCTGTAACCATGAACAAGTGGAAACACACTTGTAACAGACAACCGCAGGAAACAAAATCTTGGCTTAGTCGACTTCTGAAGTATTTCCTGTAAACACCTTTAATCCACCACTCGGATCGACGGACCAAATATGTGAAAATGAAGCACACAAAACCTTCTTCCAACTTCCGATCAAGAAAAAAAAAAAACAAAGCCTCACCACAGATGTTCAAACTTAATTAAACTAACAGCCTTAATTACCGTCAAGAAGAACAGTGCGTCTAATTAAGTTCTAATGAGGAAACATAAAAACGTACAACACAGATGTCTGGCAAAGGAAAAAAAAAAAAAAAAGGACAAAGGGACCCCTGTGTTGAGCTAACAGAGACAAATGACAAGAAACTAAACCAGACTGAGAACATGTTTGTCAGTGGGATACTGTGTAACCTCCTGATTCATTCCCTTGACCCGACGCTGGCACAGCTACACAGGCACAGATGTGGCGCCAGTAACCTTACCATGCAAGCTAAACAATAACTCAGACACACCCAGAGTCCCAGCCCTTCCAACTTCTTCAAGAGGAGTAATTATAATAACACCACACACATACAGCACAACCACACATACCGTATCGACCCCGGCCAGGAGCATCTCCGTCACGTTCGCGTAGATCTCCTCCAGGCTCAGCTCCATGGTGGTGAGCATGTGTGTGAGCAGGCCCCCTTTCACCTTCTCCCCCATCTCCACCTGGGCCTTGATCTCCTTGAATCTTTTATCAACATGAATCATGCCTGAGATTAGACGGATACAAAAAAAAAAAAAAAAAAGAACGTGGGATGAGTGCAGCGGAGAGTAGGGAAAGGGGAAAAAAAAAAAGAAACACCATTCCCAATCCAAAATTAAGCAAGATTTATATACAAATCCACATTCTTTTCAGTTGATGTAAGACCATCTAAAAGAAAAATAATGCTTTTAGCATAAAACTGTTCCTGATTTCAAACTCAGAAGATTTAAGTAAAAACTTTCAGACCATAAAACTTTATATGAACTCAATAAATTATGGACAACTCTATCAGAAACATGGAGAGCAGCACTTAGTTAATATTGCCAAATTGTATAAAGTAAGATTTAAGCTCCAAACCTTTTTTTTTAATTACATTTCTTCATCCTGTCACTTCCAAGAACTTAGAACAAAATGAAAATCTAAAGCCTTTCACAAAAAAAAAAAAAAAAAAAACACATGGATGCCTTTTGCCCTCTGTGTATTTTCTGAAATGACAAAAGGGGTTAAAGTTATTTATGCCTCTGAGCCACCACGTGTACACGTTAGCTGGCTTCTCAGCTTGAAGATCTGAAGCAGTGATTACAGACCATTTGTGTGGCCAGGTGTTCTCGAGACTTCAGGGAAAACACAGCTAGCCATCTGTGGTGTGCTTTCATGTACTGCAAGCACGCCACTTGCACACACTGGACAATTCTTATTAATTGGAGTAAGACAGAACAGGTCACTGGATTTCAGCCAACTATAGTTCTTTCAGTAACTGTGACACTTCTACCACCAATTTGACTGGGAGTATTTGTCCTCACACCACAAACAGCGAGTGTGGTCATAAAAATCTGCCTGCACGCTGGCATGAGAGATCCCCAGCAAGCCATGTTGCTGATGGTTAAGCAATGCCAGCTTGATATTTGAACACTGGAGGGACAGTCCCAGCTTCATGGTGATTTATGAATTTCAACCAGTACCAGAGAGATGCTCATCTTTGTGACAGAATTGTTTTGTGAGAAAAAGCTGAGGACCACACAAGTACACTCTGTGCTCCGTGTGGTACGGAGAAGCAGAAGTCTGGTTGCCATATTTTGCTTTCCAATCTCTACCACATCTGTTGGCATTCTCGTTTTTATATGACTTTTGTGAAGTCACACGAACATGCAGTTCACTGGTGATGAAGCACTCACTGAATTTGAACAGACCGTCCCAGGAGACACAAAACTCTTCCCATGGTTTGGGAATGATGGGACGAAGCCACTTAGGAATCGCTCCGGCATACATGGTGGTCTTGAAGGAGCTGAACATGAGGTGCAAGGCGGAGATGTAGTCCTGGGTTTCTTTGGGGACGTTGTTTTCCAAACACCCCAGTCTACACTCGTACAAGATAGCAGCCACACCTGTAAAGGACAAAAGTTATTCTTTAGTGTGTGGTTTTCTAGAATCTGCAATTCCTTTAGCAATTCATGGAGACTGTTTGCTTTGTGGTGAACAAGAAGAAATTCAACAAGCTCCCTTTTCTCTCCAGTACCTCTTCTTCTGTCTGTTTTCTAACTTTTAAAATCCCATAAAAGTTCATGTTACCATGAATCTCAAGGCCTGAACTCGATAAGAGCAGAGCTTCTTGTGAAGTTCTTACTTCACAGAAACTCCTGGGAAGTCCTAATATAGTAGGACTTCCCAAGAATCCCACTATGCAGCTTTTGTCAGCATACTATGCCCACTTCAAATATCCAACTGCTTACACAATATTTCTGTAGACCACAAAAGAAAAAATGAAAAAAAAATCTGCCCTGAACATGTGTCAAGAACAAGTGACAAGAACTCCCAGACTATAGGGAGAGTCAAACTCTGTTTGGATTGGCTTTTACTCTTTACCAACCTTCCATGGCGTAGTTGAAGAAAAGGTCATTCACATTGAGCACAGTAAGTTCATCAGGCTGCTGGGCTCGAAGGCTGTAAACTCTCTTGATCAGGTCATCCACCACCTTGTTCACATCGTCAGAGAATACTGCTACGTCACGGGGACGCATGATGAGCTGTCTGAGCACGCTGCGCATGTTAAGCCATTCTTCTCCCTCACTGAAAAACAAGTTAGAGTGCGTCATTCTAAGCTTTCCAGTGTATTTTCAAAAATCCAAAGAACTTTCATCTGAAGTCTAAACATGGGACCACAATATTGTTTACGCAATCTGTTTCTAATCACGGTACTGGTTCAGGATTCGATGACGAGAGGTTGAGGCGTCACTACTCACGCTGAGATGAGGCCAGTGGAACGACCCCTCATGTCTCTATACTCATGCCAGGATTCCATGTTGGCCCTTTGAGGGGCCGCACCCTCAGCCCGCAGGACCTCTGCCACCAGTTCACGATCGGCAATGGAGACCACCAGCTGGGGTCCAAAGCGAGACTTGAAGATTTTTCCATACTTCTTTGTGTGCTCAATCTATAAAGCAGGGATGACAGTATTTATAGCGAGGCTCTTCTTCTACTCTACTCTTACAATTCAGCAATGATTTCAAACAGTTACTAACTACTTTGTCTGAAAAGAAAATGTAATGAAATCAATCGACTGACAGGTATTTATTACATATATTTTCTAATAAATGACTTCAAACATTAAACAAAATAATGTTACTTGTAAGAGGGTCACTTGCAAGTAACAACTTACTTTCAACTTACTTTATAAGTTGAAAGCCAGCCAAAAGAGCTGGAATATATACATACAACACATTTAAGTGTTGGTAAATGTCACTTTAAATCAAGATGAAATGTTATTTTTAACATTGGTATATTTATTATTTTTTATTTTTTTAAATCAACGTGTAAGATAAAGCTTGATGTTTAGATAGACAAATAGGCAATGTTTTCAACATAATTTATTGAGAATGTCTATAAATGTGTTTTCTTATCTGCAGAAAAAAAAAACTTTTACAAGTAGGAATCAAACTTGTGATTACGTCAGCAAGTGAAGGCTCAGCAGCAGACTTGATTTGTTAAAGTTTCATTTTTAGGTTTGTACCTTAACCAAAACTCATTCCTTAATGTAATGAATGGAATAGAAAAGGGCGAGGGGAGGGGGACTTATAGTATTTCCCGTTTCTCAGACTGTTACAAAACTCAAGCCATGCAGCGGAAAACTGACCAGGGGTCGAGCTCCGGATGCGCTTTTACGCAACAGTCAGTGCCATTCTGCGTATAGGTGGCAGAACTGGCTGAGGCTGAGTGTAAACTGGCTCTTTGCCATCTATGAAAATCCAAATAAATAACTTTTGGTAAAGCCCAGATAGGAAAGACAAAGAAAAAAACAGTCATTATTCAGACGTCTTTACCTGAATCTCGTGGATTCTGCCGAAGCCGTCTTTCCAAAAAAACTCAATCAAGTTGGAAAGAGTGCTCGGTCCGGGCATCTCCTTCAGGCTCTTGATTTTACTGGCCTCTCGGACCACCGCCGGTTCGATCAGCCTGCCAGGCATGGCCTCCTCCCCGGTTGCGGAGATCTCCAGAGCCTCACTGGCTGCTGACTTGTGTAAGGCGCGGAGAAGCAGCTGCTCGTTCAGCAGCCCGGCTGAGACACTCTTCCAGCATGCTACGGAGAAGCGATTCAACATTGCCATTGTTGAAAGAGTTTCAATAAAGAGCAAAGAGCAATAAAAATGCAACTGGACAATCTTCCTGGCACTTGCAAAATGCAGCGTGAATTGTATTGTGGAAGCCTTTTAAATAGTGGCTTGGGCAGCCTCGGTGCGCGACTATTGGATGGCCGCTGCGAACTATGGGAGGGATAACTTCTGTATTCGGCTGTGGGCGTTTACCCAAAAAGTTTTAAGTCCATCCTTTCGTTACAAAAGGGGTGCAGTACAACGTGCCATTTAAGTTACATCACACCAATCAATTAAGCAGTGTACGTGCGCGTGCACCGGCGTGCAAAGCGCGTGCGAACACACGCTGACGTTTGTTTCTATATTCCCCTGGCAATGCATTCCTCAAGCCTCTTTCTGTCACGTCGGCTATCTCATCTGAATAGTTAACGTCAGACTTTTAACACTAACACAGCCCTAATGAGAAAAAAATAATAATAATCACCAAGTGGCAGAGCAACTTCATCCCTATTGATACAGGAAGGCACCATAACGTGGTAACGTGTGACAAATTATATGATATGAAACCCGTCCACAGCTAATGTGAGCACAAAAAAAAAGATGTTGGCCAGTTGTATCAGCTTTGTGTACACTCAGACAGATGTGAGCACTCATCCGTTAAAATACTATAAACAATCTAAAGTTACACTGATGTGGTTCACATGAGGACGAGATTCATATGTTGTTGTTTTTCTGACACATTAGAGTTAAACATTTGCAAAATCTTAGCATTTATTAACTTATGTTGAACATAAGGTGTTAATCTTTTACTACACTTTAAGTGCACGTTTTCCTCCCTCAACCTGTATCTTTTAACATTTAAAGCTGAGTATTTGATTCCCACTCAAACATTTGTGCTAAAACATTAGAATTAATCTTAAAGGGATAGCTCCAGGTCAAAAGCTCCCCTCATTTAAGAACATCAATCATCACATTTTTGATCTTGTTCTTTGAGTTTCAAGAAAAAGTAATAGGATTACAATTGGATTAATCATCAATTCCCTTTTCTCTACAGACATGTTGATTCAAATCTGCCTTAAGGCTCTTCACTCTTTCAGATCCCGTAAGCCAGGGGTTCCTTGAGGACACGGCATACGGACTTCAAGTCGAAAGAGAGCTGCTGAGGCAACTGTGCCATGTCATCGAGTAAAACGGTGGCCAGTCTCACATGGGTTCCCACACTTGATCCCTTTTGAAGCTTACACAACACACCAGGTTCTTGATTTTCTATTCAGAGAAGCTTCAAGTGTCTAAGAACCAAAGGAGGCAGACCCCGACTCCCCCTTGCTTCCTTTTTCGATTGCTGGATTGCATTCAAGTGTTTTCCCTGTCCCTCACTGGCCAGAGAAAAGAACCCAGTAAATAAAGCCACATGTCCATTAAATTACTTTAGTCATCTGAGCAGGAATTATTCACACAATTAATTGTTAGTCATTTATTTTTGATTTTTATTGACAACTCAAAAGGGGGACCTTCATATTGTTGCAGAAGTTAAAAGAAGAAATGCCAAAACAGTTTATTTCTTCAACATTTTATGAACAATTTAAAGAGGAAACAACTGTATAACATAACATACATTTAAAATCGAAACTAATGTACTCTTTGTTATAATTTAGAAACAAAGTAAGTAGCACTTGAAGCAAAGCTTACAAAAGAATACTGTAAAAGGTTTCTCAGTCAAGTTACCAAAAACAGCAGATGTAACACATTCAAACAGCCACCCTGCGTCTCATCTTACATACAGATATCTCTGGCTTTCAAAAGTCTCCAAACTCAGTCCCTCCTGTTCGCCCGACCGGATGATGGATCCTCTGAACCTGCAAATCCATTGTTTCTTTTTTTTTTTTTTTTTCCCCCTTTTCTCTGTCCTGTGACAACAGAGCAGGTCTTCCAAGAGTCGGGTTTCACTGGATCTACTTTCTGAAGCGCTTGAACAGTGGGTGAACGCTCTTGCTCCCTGCAGAGGCTTTGTTGCTCCGGCTTTGATATTCCATGTAGACTGTGTCGTCTGCACCCGACATGGAGCTCATGGTGCCCACTCGCCGGGAGAACTGATGAGAAACGAAGGGATATTCGAGTCGTTAACAGCTGAAATCAAGACTTGTTCCTGGAACATTGTATGCTGGGTGTATTGCTTTCACGGCACTCTTAAAAGACGCCACACTAGCCTGCAACCCTATCTGAATTTTAGTCATGAAACCGAATTTCCAAATGCACCCAAACATCCTAATCATTGACTTAACGTGTAATTTAAAACCTAGACTTTATCAGTACTAGAAAAACATAACAGCAGTATCATTTCAGACTAAGTCCAGTCTTTTTCTAATTTTTTTCTTCATCAAACAGACATTTTAGGCAATAGGGACCACATGTACAAAACATGCATTTCTAAAAGCAACAAAGAAAACGTTTGCTTAAGTACTTTGTCTCCTCTGAGTTTAGTGAAAGACCTCACCTGGGGTCGTGCTCCCACTTCGCCTGCCACCACTTCCTCCTCAGCATCCAGGTCTGACGCAGCGAGCACCTTCTGCAGCAGCTGCTGCTGCTCCTCTCTGCTGGAGAACATCAGGTCCTCTTCTTCCATACCTGCTAACTTTGTAATTACCTGTCAAACAAAAATAAAACGAGGACATTTTGGCATTTACACATGGACCAATGTTGCATCCACTGACTAAAGCCTTAACTTATATTGCTGCAAATCTTACATTTTAAACTCTCCAACTTTTTAACAAACCGTTGTTAGTTTTTCGAAGTGATAGTAGAAAATCTTTTCCCATAGATCTGCACATCAACATCTTAATGCTTAATATATTTTAGGCCTGATTTGGATTGAAGAAGCCTGTCATGGAAACCATGTTTTTAAAAAAACTGATTTATTTTTAAGTCATAAATATTTTCTTTTAAACCTAATTTTAAAACTATAACCATAAGAAATAAAATATCGTAAAATATCATCTACACAAAAAAAACAGAACGTCTGTGTCAGATGCGATTAGTGCACTTAATTGTATTAGAATGATCACACAAAGCAGAGGGCTTGTAAGGTTGAATCCTACGAACATTAAGCCACTAGACTGAATGGATACTTTAGGGGATGTGTAAATCACCTTAATCCAATTGATGTTAGCCAATCTGGATAACAGGAGTCAACTCATGAGGGGAAACCCTTCCAACCTCATTTTCAGGCAACGTAAACACGGCAACCATTGTGTCCTCCTTTTACTTTTTTTGGCCAGGTACCTGGGATTGGCTAGTGTCTAAATCAATTAAGCTCTGACTCTCCTTGAGGACCTGCTCTAACTTTTATTGTCTCTTCCGGGCCATTTGAGTTCTGCAGACTCATGCTGTTATATTTGTTAGGAGATCCTCTTTGCTGTCAACATGAACATCCATTTTTGGATTGACCGAGTCAACGCGAAGTAGAGAAGTCAATGCAATCATAATACACCAGACCAGCTGCCTGTTTTAATCTCAAACGAGCAGGAGAGCCGTAGTTTGAACGTGTTGGCTATTTAAGCGGCTCTTAAGTTTCTTGACAGGATTGCAGTGAGCTCTGTAATAAATCGACAATAATCTTTTATGTTGCTGAATTTTGCTCATAATGTATCTTTTGCAAAACTGAGATTTTTCAAAGCAACCCTACGACAAATCTGAAGATGAACAAACTCGAAAGTTTTAGCAGGTTCCGTCTGCTTGATTCAGTGGGTGTTTCTCTAACTGCAGACTAACGTCCATGCCTCTCCTGATTTCCCTTAGCTGCACAGTTTTATTGCTGTGTTTACGTGAATATAGAGCGAGCAGCTGAGATCAGATCACAACGGTTGTTTGTGCCACCGTTATTGCTATTCTGTGATTGATATGAACAAAATGTAAGTGAAAGTTTAAGTGCACTAAAAATCAGGTAAAGCTGCAGGTTATGACAGGCAACACGCATGTTCACAAGTTGACATAATACTGGCAAACTATGAGGGAAATGTTCACAATTTGTTCAGAAAAAAAATAACGTCTTATGTCTTAATAGCACCGCTTTTCCACTTAAATTCTCTTGTTTACTCCATAACTGAAGCCTGTGTGAAATCAGACCCACGCTAGCAATATTAAAATAAAGACAATGAAAAGCACTCTAAAGGCTGGGGGCTTACCCGAAAAGCACAATTTATTTTTGACATAAAATTCTCATTATGAAGCTAGGATTGTAGAAGTTTACACATTGTTGTTTGCTTCAACGGAAAGGCAAAGAGCAAAGAAGCTACCGAATACTTTGGTTGCTGCTGAGTACCTGCTCGTTAAATGGAAAACTGTAAACACTTCTCCTTGCCGAGCTAGACTCTGAACTACACAAAAGAATGGTATGTCAGCTCAATACGCACTCCTTCCGTATGCTCACTTAACAGGACGACAGAGGATTTCTGATTGGATAAGTATTTTAGATATTATCTAACTTTCTACATCATTACATTTTCAAAAAGTTATTTTGATCCTCTGTGTTTGTCAAATGCTTTGGTAACACTTTATTTGAAGGGGGTGAATAAGGCTGACATGACACCGTCATAAACATGACATAACACCTGTCATGAACATCAATAAGCCTTCATGAATATTTATGACTGTTGTCATGAAGCGTCATTCGGTTAATTATTACACTTTTAATACAAAGTTGACATTATTCAAAATGTCTTTGTTATGACAACTTGACATTAAACAATAAATCATTATTGATATAAGTTTGTTATAAAAGTATTACTGATTGCACTTTAAAAATTAGGTAACTTTATGTTATTAACGGTAAAGTTTAAACAGTAATGATTTCTTGGTTAATGCCAAGATGTCATAACAAAGACATTTTGAATAATGTCAACTTTGTATTAAAAGTGTCATAATTTACCGAATGACGCTTTATGACAACAGTCATAAATATTCATGAAGGCTTATTCATGTTCATGACATGTTATGTCATGTTAATGAAAGTGTAATGACAGCCTTATTCAACCCCCCCTTCAAATAAAGTGTTACCAATGCTTTTATGTAAATGTATTTGTTTACTTGCTAGCAAAAGGTGCAATCTTTTATTGAAGTATTTGACATTATA